AGTGTATCTCTTTAAACTCGTTCATCCGAAGGCGAACAGTTTTACAGAGGATGCAACGCACTTTCGGAAACTCTGTCCATTTGACGACACGGATGTTAGCTACAATGATATGATTAAAGGGGAGACAGGGAAAGCAGAAACTAAAATGATAATGGGATTATTACTCTTGGGCGGAGCGAGAGAGAGCCATTCAAAGCTGCGCGCGTGTGATCAGAGACAGAAATATCCAAAGTTAATAACAAATATCCCGTTGGATGTCCTCGATAGCGTGCTGATACATTATGATTTTGTTTTGTAAGACAATGAACGCTATATTTTTGTTATCTTAAGTTAGTATCGTAATTATCGGCAACCACTATTTGCAGCTAATCATCTTGAATAACCTACAGGCTTGCCGATTTTACACTGCCAACACCTCGCTCAGTTGAACCAGTAGTTCTCCGATTTCACGCCCGGCGCCCAGAGCGAGATCGGCCGTTGAGCTCCCGCCCGCCGCCCGTGACGCCAGCGGGGACGAGATCATTACATTGACACCATCATTCCAACTGACAGCTGTGTGGTTTATAACATGGAACCGAACGCGTAATGGCTATCCTTGCCAAAGCTGTTGATCGCCTTTTGATATATATATATAGTTCATGGGATCTATCAAGCAAAGGAACGGCCTTTGATTAATGTAAAGAATTTATGAAATCGGCTCAACTCTCCTTCATCACCATAAAGGAACGTGAGAACTTGTTGAAAACTTTTCTTTCACCCAAGACAACATTCCTCCTCCTCCCTCCACCTCTTCCCTTTCTTTCACTTCGTCTCCTCCTCCTCCTCCCTCTTCTTCTCTTCCTTTTCCTTTTACTTCTCCCTTTCCAGTTCCACCTCTCCTTTCACTTCTTTTTATCATTTTTCCTCGATCTCCTCCATTTCTTCCTACTTTTTCTCCTTTTCCTTTTACTTCTCCCTTTCTTTATCCCCTTTCTCTTCACCTCTCCTTATTCTTATTCTTCCTCCACCTCGATCTCCTTCTTTTCCTCCTCCTTCCTCTCCAACTTCACTTTAATCTTCCCTCCTTTTCGCCCCTTCCCTTTTTTTCCTCTTTCTCCTTAAGTTCTCTCATCTTCCTCCGTTTCCCTTCGTCTTTTCTTTCTTTATGTCTCACCTCTGCCTTATCCTCCTGCCCTTCCCTTCCATTTCCTCTGTACGAAATAGAGGAATAAAGAAGTAAATAAACAAATACACAAGCTTTGGAAAGAGAAAGAGAGAACAAGGAAAGAATACGAGAGAACAGACGATAATAAACTTTGGACGAAAAGAGAAGCTTTGACTGTCCAAATGCAAAACAGGAAAATGAAACCTAATAAGCAGAAATGCGCTGTGAGTGGGAAGGATAGAGAAACGAGAGAGAAAGAGAGTGAAAGAGAGAGAGTGAAAGAGGGAGAGAGAGAGAGAGAGAGAGAGAGAGAGAGAGAGAGAGTGAAAGCGAGAGAGAGAAGGAGAGGAATAAATAAGTAAATAAACAGACACACAAAAAGAGAGGAAATAAGAAAGACAAAAAAAAGTAAAAATACAAGAAAACACTCAGACGATAATGAACTTCAGACGCAAAAAAAAAAAAAAATCCTTTAATACTCAAATGTTTCAAAAACGGAATATGCTAAATGAAGACATCTCATCAATGCTGAAGTTACACGCTCTGCTCGACGTGGGGAATAAAGGGCAATTATCTTTCGCTTCATCATTTGATTAGTTTCTTGCGGTGGAGAGAGAAGGGGAGGAAGGGAGGGGAGAGGAGGGAGAGGAGAGGTGGGGAGGGGACTGGAAGGGAGAGGAGAGGAGGGGAAGGGGAAGGGAAGGGACGGGAGGGGAGGGAGGAGGAGGGGAGGGAAAGCGAGGGGAGGGAGGAGGAGGGAGGGTAAGGGAAGGAAAGGGAGGGGCAGACAGCTAGAAAAGGAAGAAAGAGAAAGAATGTGAATGAAAGGGAACAGAGAAGAGGAAGTAGAAACTACAGAAGGGAGAGTGAAGAAATAAAAGATAGAAAGATGAATAAAAAATGAGGTAGCGGATTACACAATAAAAAGGGATTATCTGCAAAACAGGAAAACAAAAGATAATAAGCAGAAATGTGCTGTGAGTGGAAAGCACAGAGAGAGAGAGAGAGAGAAGAGAGAGAGAGAGAGAGAGAGAGAGAGAGAGAGAGAGAGAGAGAGAGAGAGAGAGAGAGAGAGAGAGAGAGAGAGAGAGAGAGAGAGAGAGAGAGATAGAAAGAGAGAGAGAGAGAGAGAATAGAGAGAAGAGAGAGAGAGAGAGAGAGACAGAGAACAGATAGAGGCTAGAGAGAGAGAAGAGAGAGAGAGATAGAGAGAGAGAGAGAGAGAGAGAGAGAGAGAGAGAGAGACGAATAAACAAATAAATAAGCAGATCGCAGGAGTCATTTCCGAACCTCAAAGACTCGCTGCTTCGTTCGTCCCCGTCATTCATACCAGAAAAGTTCTCGCGGGCGTTGAGT